GTTTGATAGGCCTTTCAAAAAAGTATTTCCATCACTGCTTTATTTCTCCTATATCGCAGCTTGTCGTTTTATTAGGCTAATTGTGTTACTTGATTATGAATTTTGAACATTTTATGCCAGGAAAATGTATTTGCTTTAAGCCTATATGCCAATAATTTGTGCCATTTTTGTCTACATTAGCCTACATTATTAAAAATTGCGCGTGCTTGGATGATCAAGTAATTTTCTTTGGCCAAACTGTTTTTTTCCACCCTGCATTGATTGGAAGGTGCTTGTGTGTGTTTTTGTTATTATTAATTGATTTTACCGTCAGTGACAAACTAACACAAATGATTATCTGGCGCGCGACTCCAAACACTCTTTCCAGCTCGTTCATTTCCATCCGACTGCTGCCTGGCACACACTTGAGAAATGATGTCTTCTCTCTTTAAGCATTAATATTGTAAGAAACAGTCGAAAGGGAAAAATAACAGCTATTATTTTTAATTGAGCTGGCAGAAATCTTGGGCTCCTCATCATTTTTGGTCAAAATGGCGGACGTGACGCGCAGGTATCACGCGCCGCTGATGTTACTTGGCAAAACGATAAGAAACAAACAAGTAAACGTTAAACGTTGCTTTTCTAACTGTGAACGGTATTTCAGGATTTTCCTGACCTATTGGATGAGCAACAGGCCTTGTGTGGTGGGATCTTAGGTAAGAAACCAGACCATTTATTTGCTGACAGGACAGTCACAGGGTTGGAATGATATTTTGCCGTGAATATATATATAAAAAAGAAAAACATTTGACCCTTCAAACATTTAACCTTTCAGTTGGTTTGCTAGTTAACAGTTAAATTTTTGGTGAAAATCTTTTTATATGTTCGAAAATCTAATTGAAAGCGATGACAGGCCCAGAAGTGAAATAGCCTAACGCGGTTTATTGGAATTTTATGTCTATATTTACAGCACTGTAGCAAAAATAAAATGCACAAATGTTCAATAGGCTAAATCTAAGGCCAAGTAATAGTCTATAGTTCATTAGCATAATAACTGTGTTGTTTATGGTTATCGACAAGCAACGAATAGGTTAACTGTCAGTTAGCCGATTAACTGAATATTTGGACGTTTTTGTTCTCAACATTTACATGGCGCTTCTCAAATTTAAAGACAATAGAGATGTTTGAGTGTCCTTTTTTTTTCTTCGTATTTTTAAGTGTGTTTGGCAGGAATAACATTCTGGCGTGGGTTGCACCTTAAGTTTATGAGCTAAATGTGGAAAATATAAACTACTCATGGATATGATTGATTTATGATATTTTAGTACACAAGCAAAGGAAATATCATGTGAAAATAAATCACTTCGTTTCAGGATCTAGTTTTTGTGTAGTGATATAAAAAGCAAAACGTGTCTCTATGTAGGCTACTCAGGCCAAGCTATGCCTAACAGTTTAATATTTTAAATAACTTATTTTTTAACAATAATATATATTTTTTACAAATCAATAGGCCTACTAATTAAAATGTAATTAAATATAAAGTATTATTCAAAAAGTAATACCATGTTTTTGATGTGTAAAATGCCTATTCTCGGACGCTGCTATCCTATAATAAGTGATTGTGCTTTAGGCAAGTGAACTTTCAAATGCACATGTTGATCAGGACCTAATTATCTCATACCCACACTGGTAGGAAGCCATTAAGGGCTGTGTTTCAAACAGAGAAGGGATTGTTTGAAATAAAGGTGCTGCTTTTATTGAATCAAATGCATTCATAAACAAATGCTGCTCTCCTCTGGTTGTGTGCTTCAATTAGCATCTTATTAGAGACCTCAAGCAGGTGTTGGTTTTGACACGTAGGCTCAGATTTGAAAGAGGAAACACTAATGAAGAGTTTTACTGCGGCGGGAGAGCGTTGTCACCATACATCCGTCCAATGAGGCTTCCTTGGTCTCTCATTTAAGAGATATTTGCAAATGTTTGCTAATCCAGCATTTCAAATCAATTTCCTTGTCTTGTTTTTTTTTTTTTTTCGTGGGAAGAACAGCATCCAAGCAGTCATTCAGTGATTTTTTTTTTCTTTTTTTGTTTGTACGTAGAACGTCAACAAGAATTGATCCGCAGCTCCGTCTATGACTCGTTCAGGTTTCAGATCTGGATATCTCCTGCTTTATGCTGCAAGCAGCTGTTGTTTTAGATTCTTTTTGACTGCATGATTAAAGTATTCCCAAAACTCAGATAGAAGTTTACGATTACATGTGCAGGGGGAAAAAAACACACACACAGTATTTGCACTCACAGTTAAATCAATCAGTTAAAAAGCGTTTTGGATCATTCACTGGCAGATTTCTGATGCATATTAACTTTGAATTGTATGCGGGAAAACCTCACAGATGTGACCAAAACTAGTTCTCGTTTTTCCCTTTGGAGAGGGATCTTATAGAATCTGTTGTCATACTCATTAAAACATTCACGAAGATGGCTGATGGGAGATTTCAGAGCTGACACAACTTCTGGTACAATAGATTTTTTTTTTTTTTTTTGCAGCAAACTCAATATTTATTCAACGTCACTCCGAACAACTTTTGCAAAGTTTTTTGAGCAACCAAGTCAGATATGCTTCATTGCGCTCCTTGCGTTGGGTGTTTTCGCAGACAAACACAGCATATGTTTGTTTTAAATTAGAGATGCACATGGGGAGTGCGGTCGCTTTCGTCTTTGTCTCGGCCGCTAAATCCACAAGCAGCTGCCGGCTGCAGGGTCTGCTGGGAGTTTTCGGAGCGCTTTCTCCCATCAGCCCGTGCCAAGGTGGCATTACGCAAGCCGGGGTGAGGGGAGGTGGAGGGAGGGTCTGGTGGAGCCACAGCCTCAGTCAACGCAACCCAGACTTAACAACACAGTTGCCATGACAAGCTTGATGGGATGCTGAACTTTGCCTCGGTGGTGGATCGGAACTTGTCAAACTGGCAAATTGTGCACCATCGGACTGGACTGGGTGCTCTTGCTATCTCACTCGCTCTCTCTCTCTCTCTCTCTCTCTCTCTCTCTCTCTCTCTCTCTCTCTCTCTCTCTCTCTCTCTCTCTCTCTCTCTCTCTCTCTCTCTCTCTCTCTCTCTCTCTCTCTCTCTCTCTCTCTCTCTCTCTCTCTCGTTCTGCCACCAGCCCCCCTCCTCCTCTCTTTCCCCTCCCTTTCAGCTCTTCAAGCTAACGTATTGGCTGAGCTACAGGCATCTTGTTGCCAAATAGGTGGGCCCTATACTCGTGTTGGCAAAGACTCAGGCAATGGTTAAGGAAAGAACGCGGAGAGGACGAGAGAGAGCGATCGAGGGAGAGAGCGAGAGAGAGAGTTGGAGAGAAAAGGAGTAAAAAAAGCAGCAGCACTTGGGTTTGCCAGCGGTCCTGCGAGCTCGTCCAACATTGATTCGGTTCTCTTTTTTTTTCCTGCCTGTATTCTGTGCTTTGCATTAGCCAGCTAACTCCCCCCACCCCGCACCCCCCTTCGTGCATGCATGTGCGCGCGTGTGCCTGCGTTGTGTGTGTGTGTGTGCCGCGCTCTCTGAGTTTTCTGCCGGATCCAAAGATCTAAGAAAACTCATTGCTCTTTGCCAAGGATTTCTTTTTTTCTCCCCGGCATTGTTTAGATTTTTTTAAAAAATAATAATTTGGAAAGCGAAAGCATTTATTCTGAGCGCTGCTGCCTTTCTAGTTCTATTTTTTTTTTCTGGTGCACACACCTTTATTATTTTTTACATTTTTTTTTTATAATTTTTTTTTTTTTTTTTTTAAAAAAAAAAAAAAAAAAAAAATTGTAATCTTGTAATTTTACCTGGAACCGTTTGCGGCAAAAGGAAAGCAAAATTTCCTAATCTTGAAATTAACTTCTTTCCGCCGGCAATTGGAGCATCTCCAGTCTTCTTTCCTTTTTACCCAAGTTTTTTTTTTTTTTGTCGCCAATTCTTCATCGTTGCCAAGCCAGCAGTTGTTGTTTCGGCGTGAGTGGCAAAGAACTGGTGCGGGTGGAATTTTTTTTTTTCTATCCTGAACGGCGTGCCAAATTTATGATGAGAGTGCAAAATGGTAACTACCAGCCTTTCTCTCTCTTTCTGCTCTTGTCTGCAGTGTGCTTTTCATGGTGCTATCTCGATTGTGGAAATGTGAACATGCCTGGATTTCTGCATCACAGCAGCCCGCAGAGAGCTTTTGATGGCAGGTCTTGAAGGGACGCAGTTTAACCGCGGTCTTGTTGTGGCGAGAGTTGGCGGAGAGGGTCTGGGGCACGGCGGGCCTGGCACTGGGGCACCGTGGCGCGGTTTAGGCTTTGTCACTGAGCGTTGTGTGGTGAAGGTATTATTGGAGAGCTGAATGGGTCTTCCGTTGCCGTGGGGATCGCCAAGCTTTTCTTGGCCTGTCTTGAGCTAAAGAAGCTGCTTTCTGTGAATCGCAGAGCCCTGGAATTCCTGCACTGCCTCTGCAATGTTTTACTTTGCAATTTACTAAAGTATTTTATTCATTTAGAGTAATTGTGTCTGAGCTTAAGGGGATTTTGATGCATGCTTCTGTGAGGAGAATTTTCAATTGAAAGTTAATCCTTGTAATGGACTAAATTGATTTCTACCTTGCAAAAATCATTTTCTCAATCTGTATTTTTGCGTTTATTTCAAGTAAAAAGATCTAAACATCCTTAAAACGGGGTAAATGTATTTGAGGAACACAACTGATTAAGATAAGAAAATATGCTTACTTTACGTGAATGTGTTTATTCTTTTGATTATACTTTCAGCATAAAACTCTCAAAATTGAAAACGTATTTAAATAAACCTATAGCAAATTCAGTCTGCGTTCTCTAGTATTTGCACTATTTTATTTTTAACGACATTTAGATATTTTTACTGGAAAAGCAAGACTAAAATATATGTGGTTGCATGCAATGCACAATTTTTCCAAAGTTCTCAAATACCTTCTCATTTACTTGAGCTCTGAAATCCCTCTCTTTCTTTTTTTTTGTTGTTGTCGTCCACCAGGATGAATTTCATCCCTTCATCGAGGCTTTGCTGCCACACGTCCGCGCCTTCTCCTACACCTGGTTCAACCTCCAGGCCCGCAAGCGCAAGTACTTCAAGAAGCACGAGAAACGCATGACGAAGGACGAGGAGCGCGCCGTCAAAGACGAACTCCTGGGCGAGAAGCCCGAGATCAAGCAGAAGTGGGCGTCCCGTCTGCTCGCCAAGCTCCGCAAAGACATCCGCCCGGAGTTTCGCGAGGACTTCGTGCTCACCATCACGGGGAAGAAGCCGCCGTGCTGCGTGCTGTCCAACCCCGACCAGAAGGGCAAGATCCGGCGCATCGACTGCCTGCGGCAAGCGGACAAGGTCTGGCGCCTGGACCTGGTGATGGTTATCCTGTTCAAGGGGAGCCCGCTGGAGAGCACGGATGGAGAGAGGCTGGTCAAGTCCCCGCAGTGCTCAAACCACGGCCTCTGCGTGCAGCCGCACCACATCGGGGTGTCCGTCAAAGAGCTGGACCTGTATCTGGCCTACTTCGTCCACTCGCCAGGTGAGTCCCGCCGCCGCGTAACCCGGTTCAGGAAACACGGTCCAGATCCGCTCCGGGCTGCGATCCAAAAACACACTCCAATGCAAATGTATGCAAATAACAGCCTTTGTTGTGTTTATTTCTTTGTATTTTTAGCTTGGTGTTCTGATCATTTCTGTGAAATTGCGAAATGATGACTTTTTGCTTGGCTTTGTGTGTGTGTGTGTGTGTGTGTGAACTGGTTTACAGGTCATGTATGTTGCAGCGTGTAACATAGTGCGACCATTTCTCTGATAGTTGTGCGTACGTGTGTGTGTGTAAATGTCAGATTGTGTATCGTGGCAGTGACAGCTGGCCTTCTCCCAGCTGGTGAAGGCCACACACACACACACACACACAGGTCAGTTACACCGCTGTCCTTAAATACACACACACCCCTAATATCAGAATGATCACATTCTCATAGACACAACATTTACTTTCAATTTACATTTTATTCAGTCTCAATTTATGCATTTGATTAATTTGATTCATTTTTTTAATATTTTGCTCAGCATTTAAAGACATGTGAAAATTAGATATTAAAATCAGACCATTGGCATTAAAATTGGAAACAATCAAATGATAGTCATGAAACTCCATGATAAAGAGATCACAATGTGTAATTTTTTATTTTTTATAAATTAGGATATTTTTCCAGGTGTTCAGGAATAATGTCTTTGGCATTATTTTTGTTATAATAATAATAATAATAAACAATATAATGACCAAGATTAATAACACAATTATTGTAATTTAATGCATTTTATTTAGTTAGTTTTTATGTACATTATTTAATTATTTACTATTTAAATAATACATTTACTGTTTTTTTGTTGTTTAAATGCATTTATTTATGTATTTTATTAGGGTTGTGGTTTTGTTGCATTTGCAAGTATTTATTTGTCAGATGCACTATATGTTGGTCAATGCTGAATACATTGGCAGTTCCTGTGAAAACAGAAATAGACCCTCGCAAACAGCACACAATATTAAATCTGCAGCTATTTACAGACAGCTCAGATATTCAGCTATTATCTGTGCACTCAGAGTATGTGATCAGGCAACATTTGACGATGGTTTTTCTTCTTTTGTTGTGACACAGAGCCATAATTCTGTTTGTTGGCAGAGGCGCTGAGAGAGATTTTGTTGCCCATGCCGAGTTTCCCTTTTGCGCCGTGTGGATCTCAGCGTCAGTTAGCCGGTTCACCATGCCGTTCTTTTCCTGTTTAACGGAATGCCAGGACTCAGATTATCTCCTGCTGACCCGGCCCAATCTCCTGCCTTAATCCGGACGCTATTAAAGCGGCCCGATGGCTCATTGTTCCGGCCACATCCGCTTTACCACATCCACACTGATGCAACATAACTGCACCGTTTGTTCACTCTCCTTAAACACCGACAGACCCTGTTTCACCAAGTCTGTATTTTCTAAAGATTACACTCCGAGCAAACACTTGCGTGTATTTTTCGACTGCAGTTTTAAACGGCTAGAGCAAGCTGCAGGAGCGCCTGCCAAAAAAAACAGGCCTGGTTTAGATCACCTCTGCTTTTGCTGTCTCTAAAAATCAGCGTTTACATTTCGGCCCCGAACAACAGCACGTACTGTGGTGTTTGCGCGCTGTAGGTCAGGTGCTAGAAAGCACGATTTGTGTATAATTTACACTTTTTCACCAGCACATGCTGGACAAGCGGCCGTTTGGTGGTTTATTGAGGAGATGCGTGTCGTATCGCCCTTCGGGAGCGATTTAATGACGTTAAACTCTGCAGAAACGCGCTGGTTAAATACCCAGGAGCACGATGGCGTAATTACGCTCAGTCTTCTGGTCGTACGCCGGCTGTATTAATGATGATGATTAATGGGAGTTGTTGACGAGCATCTCAGATCAACCGTCTCGCACCAAAAAAAAGTTCGTGTTTTTCTTGTGTTTGTCAGAATGATGGATGCTTTCTCTCGGGTTAGTCATCGCTGGAGCTCACCACGTCATGCGGCTCCCATTATCGCTCAGTCACGATAAAAAACATGCGCCTGCTCTCATCTCTAATCGAGCTGTGTCCAGCTCAGACAAGCCAAGTTCTGGAGTCAGACGACGGCTATACAGATCCGGGTTGTAAAGACGAGAGAGAGCCGTACACGCTGAAAGGAGGGGAACTAATGCTGGCCTTTTCCTTTCAGAAAAGGAAATGGATGTATATAGTCGAATGACAATAGGCTCTTAAAGTGCGGTCAAGCGTTAAATCACTTGTTTCACAGCGAATCATCCATTCAGGATCGTTTCCACAGCTTTCAGAGGTGTTAGAGATATCAGAGAGGTGTTGCGATTCTAGCGGGAGCTTAAAAAGAAAGACCGCGGGTGTCTGCTGACAGTGTTTAAATTAATAGTTACATTTATCAGGTTTTTTTTGCGGCGGTTTGGGCACCTCTTCAATAAGATCGGTTGCCGTCAGACCTTTGGGCAGCTGTGTTTCTTCTTGGCTGGTAAAGGAGGTGTTGTGGAACAGATTCCCGCTGCTCCAGGCTTTGAGGCCCGTAAACCAGACCGACAGCAGACAGTCACCCGCACCGACCACTGACATGACACTTTACTCACCTTTACATTTCATTTTGATTTGATTTGGACCTGGATATCATTTTTAGAGTCTTTTTTTTTTTTGCAGTGTGATTGAGTTAGTTTGGTCACATTCAGGAAGCTGGTTTTCCTGTGTTTATTGTGTTTGTGAGAGAGAGTTTGTTTAATTACAGGTGCTGGAAAAATATTCCATTTGGATTTTGCTACTTTTTAGCTGTTTTACTTTTACTTTAGCTGATTTATTTTTAAATCGGTATGTTATAACTCATTTGTTTGGATACTAGAAAATGGAGAAAATGCTAAAATATTTACTTTTTTGCTGGCTGGAAAAAAATCCTAAAAAAAACATTGTAATTTTCATAATATCAAATATAACATTTAATAACTTTTAGTATTAGTGTTCATAAAATAATTTTTATTTGTTAATACTGTTTTTAAGGTTTTTTGAATAAGTGTATTCATGAGTCTAATGATTTTGTTTTCAAATCTTCCATTTTGTCAGCAAATTTCTATGCTGTGTTTTATATTTTAAATTCGTTATAATAAAATAGAAAGCAAAAAGGCATTAAACATCATTTAAATGACATTCTAGAGTGTATTTGTAATACGTTATTTTTTTAAATACTTTTTTAGCATATAATATAATTATCTTTGCTTTATTTTTGTGTGTAGGTAAAATATACAAATAAATATTTCTTTAAAGATTTTTACAATGTTGACTCGGCAATTATGTGATGTGGAAAACACAGCATATCAGATGATATACATTTATTTATTAATTTGATAAATGTAGTGTGTGTGTGTTTGTGGTTCAGGTATTCCCTATGTTCCCTACATTTAGTTCCCACATGGATAGTAAAACCAGAATTTATTTTATCTTGTGGTTTATCTTTTTGGTCCCCATGCGGAAAACCATATCATATAATCATATATCATAACATATATCATACTAAATGATATTGTTTTGAAAGCATAAAAATGCAGAAGTGTTAGGGGATAGAATGTACAGTATAAAAATCATTGTCTAATAGAAAAAAATCTACATAAAACATAAAAAACCCAACGTGTGTGTTGTAGTGGAGTTGTTTTTCCTCTGTTTTAACACTCGTGTAGCATGATCTCATCACCAGGAGAGAACGTCAAAAACAGCAGAATTCAGAAGAGGTCTATAGATGAGAACAAACGGCGCAGCTGAAATGGAAAACAGGAGAAATGTTGGAGGAGGAGAAGGATTGACTTTGGCTCGCACTGCTTTTCTTTACGGCCTTTCGTTTGGATCAAAACGGGCCAATAAATCTTGCAAAGATTTAAAACCAAAATGCCCCATATACTGGACACACAAACACATACAAGAAACAAAAAATACTGTTAACCAGAGATTTGAATATTCTCTGGCAGTTTAAAAGAAATCATTTCAACAATAACTACACCAAAATGAATCCTCCTCCTTATCAACCATTAATTATTGTTAATATAACTATTTGCATTGTGGCGTTTGTTAAAACGGAGAATAGGACAGCGGGCAGAGAATAAAGACGGTGTAAAATGCCAAGATGGAAACAAAAGCCGGTCTGCGAAGGGAACTTCGGCTGGTGTGTGTGTTTGGCACTGCCGCGCGGATCTCAGCTTTTCAAATCACGCCACACGCTCTGCCAACATCCCTCTCTCTTTCCCAGCCTCTCCTTCCATTTAACCCGCTTTTTCAGGCCCTATCCTCTGCTTTTCCCCTCTCGCCATCTCAACACCTCCGTCACGACGCCGACGGGAAAAACAAGCCTCTACGCAATTCCGTATAGAAACAGCTTTCTTTCGCATGTATTTCAGGGCTCTTTTTATTTTGTAAAGCATTTCTCTTTTCCTTTTTTTAATGATTCAGGAATTGGCCGCGGCGAACGATCCCATACGCTGCGATAGCCATGTTCCAAATCAAAATGGAGAGCTTGGCAGCGCTGGCTTTGGCTGCCGGGCGTCTGTCTGGGATGTTAGACGTGAAAAACAAGAAAAGAAAAAAAAAGACTGGTTCGATAGATCATCCGGCTAATCGTGTTTAAGTACATGTATTTTTACACCGACATAACCCTTCACGTGTCACCCCGAACGGTCAAACTGTCACCAGCCGAATTAAAGTGTGTTTAAACTTCTAAAGTGTGTCAGTGGAGCCGGCTGAAGCTGGCATGAGTGCATGACGCTTTTGACAAGCGGGTTTTACCAGATGAGAGTCACAGAGTTTGACATAAGCCCTTATAGGAATGCCGTGTATTTGCGCGCTGGCGTTGTTTATATATGGGTGTGTACGGCGTGCTATGAGTGACACGGCGGACAGGCTAATAGCGGCAGTCAGACTGAGCGAATAATGATTGGAAAATGAGGGCTATTATTGAAGTAGAGTAAACAGCACAGGACTCTGGTGAAAAGACCTCATTCAGCACAGCGCTGGAGTGCAGGGTCTTTCTTCTCCTCAGGGGTCCTCCTGCCGCTCTCAGAATCCGCCTTTTGTTCACCGCCGAGACGGACAGAGAGCGAGAGAGAGAGAGAGGGATGAAGCCCGCGCCGCGCTAACCAGACCGCCGTTCTGTCGTGTCCACGGGGCCGTTTCTTCACCGCAACAGTAGACGCA